ATGATGATATAATCATATTGACGATAGTCTACCATTAAAGTACCAAGTTATATATTTTTTTGACAGTCAATATACCTATTTAATTAGAAGACAGTAGTTGTTTTTCAATTACAGTTACGTTAATAAACCAACTGTATGATATGTTGATAGCTAAAATAAAACTAAATAAATGGACCTGTATAATTTATTAAAACCTTACCTATATAATATAGAATAATCAATAAAATACATATCATTTTCGTTCTTAATCTGATTAATAATTATATAAACTATATTTTAAACAAATCAAATTAAACTTACCTATACTAGCTAGGTGTACATTTATATATAATATTATACTATACAAGTTAGTTTTATTATAGTTTATTGAACGGATGTACAATTTAATTTATCTATAGTAATATTAATTTTACAAAACCATATTGCTTTATAAATGTAATTAAATTAAAATATTAATTAAAAACCTCATCACATAGATTTTTTCTCCATAGGTACATGAAATAACATAAATTAATTATTTGAACAATATTTAATTTAATGTGATCCATAGTTCATTTAATTTTGTCTTAAATGTTATCGCTTAAAATACAATATTCCAGTTAATGTGACTATTAGGTTTATTATTTTTACTTCAATTGTTGTTACAATCTAAATATTATATAATATATACTAATTTCTATAAACAATTAATAAAAAATGTGTATAAAATACACAAAGCTTTAAAATAGGTATCTATAAAAAAAAAGGTCATTAAAATTTACTTTATTTGGGTGTACCTATAGTATTTTGCTTTGTACCTAATTATGATGTTAAAAAAATTACGATTTACTAGTTAATAAGTACGTTGCAAATATAAAATCGTTCAATATTTTTTATTGTTATCTATATATGTTTTTTTTGTGCTTATATATTGAACATAAAACTAAAGAAATTAAAAAGAATAAAAAAACTATCTTATAAATGTATTATTATTATTATTATTGTATTTATAAAAATTATTATAAAGTGTAAATGAAAATTATATAAATATTAAAATACGGATGTATATAAATTTCTATTGAGATAAATTACCTACATATCTATCAATAGGCGTTATTCCCAGCAAACATCACTTTTCTTGTATTTACTTCAAGCTGAATTTTTAATCTAGGTGTCCATCGTTTTATTTTAATTTAATAACTACTGTATAATTTAATACAATGTTTTCCAAAATTATTTATGAAAACTCAATCTTAGGTTTTCATTTTCATATAGGCGAAACTTGGACCTTACTTTACTGTTTCCACAATTCATTTTTAAACATTTTTCTGTTATTTCACTTTATATCCTCCTATACTTAAATTTAAATTTATAAATTTATGAAAAAATGTCAAATATTATAGTCATGTGAGTCTTCGTGAAAAACATTTTTATGATTTTCATTTAATAGTGGAAACGGTTCCTTTAATTTATTATATACTGAGAAGACATAATTTTGAAATCCACGAAGATCAACATATTTAAATTACATCCCATATATATATTTGTAAGAATATTTTTTTAATTTTAAATATACATAAAAATTTACTCACCAATTTATAACTAAAACCATCAAAGAGATATAGCATGAATATTAACAATTAACAACAAATTCAAAAGATAGTTTTACAAATTATTTTGAATATATTAATTTTTTAGGTAATAAAAATAGTTAAAAGTAGCTTACACGCAATATATAAATATATCATAAAAGATTATAAATAATACATAATGAAAATCTCAATATTTAAGAAACGCTATTATATAGTAATAGTAATTAAAATCTTTACAAAAAAATGACAATACTTATCTATCGAATATCACTCACTTGGATAATACGTAAGTATTAACGCAATAACACGTAAATTACATAAAATAGGTTTATGTATTACACTTTATGTAAATTAAGTGATCGGTGGCGCTTATTAACATCAAAATGTAACACTTTTATTGTGTTCATGCTATTGGACGTGGCTGAAAGTGGTCAGACACAATCTATCAAATATTTGATATACTACTAAAAAAATTAAAAAAATATTAAATGATTCATTTTGCTAGCATGCAATTTGCAAGTCATATAATAGATACAAATCAATAAAAATTAATCGTAAAAATCATTCTGATATACAGTAGATTGTTAATGTACCTAATCGTAAAGTATAGATGTGATAATTAAATATATAATTCATCTATTTGTATCGCTTTAATAAATGTGTCAAATTTAAATTCAGTAATAAAAAATATTATGAATCACTGCTTACAAAAAATGATACTGAAAAAGTGTGTCAGCCACTATATTTTTTAGAATATTTTATAATTTATTTAAAGTGCTAATAGTAATTCATTTATTTATTAAGTTGAACAAATCTTTGCTGAAAACAAATAATCAGTAGGTATATTAAGACTGTAGATATATAGATACTAGGTTTAAGTAATACTATAGTTATTATTATAATATCATATTTGTTAACATCTATACCAACATAGCCAGTACTTCTACGTATGAATAGGTTCATAATTTCGTATAAATAGCTTAAAATTAGTTTAAATATTTTGAAAACTATTCTTTATACATTTGTGCACAAAAAAAAAAAAAAAAAAATAGTTTACATAAGTAATGGCGTAAAGTTTCAAATCTATACGTTTAATATTTCTTGGGAGGGAGACTAGTAGCGACTGTAAACGTGATATACTCAAGCATTGAAAACATTTCATTTTTAAATTAGCATTGATTATACAATAGACATGTCACGTATGTTTGCCTTTTAAAACAAAATTATTTATTATTGTTCAAAATGACTAATGAACAACATGACAAAATATTTTTCTTTTTTTCCATGTCAAAAAATTGTAGAAATAAGATACGTTATAATAAAAAGCTATGTAAAGGGACAAAAATATCAATGATTAATTTATAAGTGCATATGTTGATATGTGTACATGTAACAAGTTAAGACAACTATTTAGTGGTAGTTAGAATGAGACCAATAGCAAACCCAAAAAATTGTTGAACCATCAGTATATACGAAAAGATCTAGAGAGATTTGAAATTACAAAAGTTATATTATAATAAACCATATGATAATAATTTTGTCATCAACATCTATTGAATAATGAGTGATGACTTACATTTGAATAGAAAGTATTGAGTACCTAACATTAGTATTAATAAATTATTAATTCTTAATCTGTTAAGCTTATGCATTGCTATCTGAGTATTTAAGTTAAGTGCTTTGTAAATTTTATAACATCGCCAAAAAAATTTAAAACTTACACTAGTATGAAGGACAAAATTCAATACTTTGCTGAACTCCAAGCAGGGAAACGCAGGGGTACAATAAGTACGCGTCCATTTTGATATGTACTTTGTGATCATGAATTTCATGACGCTATCTTGTGGTAAGATATTAACTACGTTGCAACACAATGTTATACTCATACTCGTATGCGCCCGACACATATTGTTATGCAATCTAAAATACATAGATTTTTACGAAAAACAGTCACAGCTTTGGTCTCCCAACTCCACACCAAATTAATATATTTTAAGATATGAAAAAACATAATTATACTATTATGTTAAAATTACTTTAACATCACGATAAACTAAGTAGTGGATAAAACCATAAGATTACACAAAAACATCAAGTGATTTTTGAAAAAAAAATATAATACTGCTGTAACTAGCTGAATTCTATGATTATTAATTAGTAAGTGGCATAATACAATTTTAGCGCAATTTATTCCGTATAATATTTAGTATTTACCAAAGAGTGGAACTTATCAGAATGAAATCATGTTTCACGATAAAAATTTTCTTCAATAGACATTTGTTTTAAAAAATGTTTGATCCAAACATTAATACATACCTATATTATTATATTTATCATGAATGTTTATGTCTTATAACATTGTATATTTTACAAATACATTAAGAAACCTAATATTGTTTTTATTCAATAATTTTAATTGCAGAAATAAGTGAAGTTTGTTGTTAAATCCTATAGTTGAAGGTTTAAATACGGAAAAAATAGCTACACTTAATATTTTCCATGTTAATATACAAAATTATATATGGTAAATGAAGGATAAATGGGCAATAAGCTAATAATATATAACCCATTTATTTTTTTTAATCTAAAAAAGAATATATTATATCTGTATATGTATATCTTTAATCAAATTTATCTCAATTTAAGACCCATAATTTTATTATTAAAATTATAAGATAAAAAAATTAAGTAATTTGGTGTAAATTTTAACTTCCTTATTACTATTTATTTTTGAATTACAATAAAAAATTCCTTGAGAAGAAATAGATATTTTACTATATTGAGTATAATGCAATGTCATTAAAATATGGACTTCAAACAGTTCAAACTTACATTAAAATTTTATCGGTTTTTTTGGAAAATGGTAGGAGATTTAACCTAACCTAGCCGTTTAAAGTACAAACATATCCATTTCTCTACTAGAAACAACTTTCAGAGTTGAAGATTGATACAATTTTCTAATTGCTTGTCGTATATATACGTACAAAAAAAAAAAAAAGAAAAAACATCGTGTAATGTTTTAATAACTGCATGACAGTTATTCATTGAAGAACGTGAGAAACAATTTGTTTATATTATATTTTCTATCTAAAGATCCTATTCTAATTAAAGTGCACAATAGTATATATTATTATATTATAGCATAATAAAACACAATATTATATCTACACTCCACAGTTGTTGTAATAATAATTAATGCAATGTTTTTCTCACGTTCACGCGCCAACATTTTATCACGATAATTATGGTAGTGGAATTTTAAAAAAAATAATTTTGTTCCAAAGAATGGGCATCACTGCAAATCTACTTCTCTCTACTCGATCACCCTACTGTAAAAGATATGTATACCGTCATAATTTAAGGTCCATGTTATTATGCATAAAAAAAAAAACCTTATCAAAAAACATCCACGACTATAATCTTTATCAATTTATCGAATATTTATCAGTGGCCTTGTCTATATAAGACTGTGTATCGGTCGGTGTATGTTGGTTGTACGATTATTACTATTATTGTAATTAATTTTTTCTGCAATTTTTTACGTTCGGGTGTCGTCGTCTTCACCCTTTTTTTCTACGCGCTCGCACGGCCATGCGCTCGGCCTATATCGTTCACGGTGCGACAACGATGTTACGTTAGGGCGGGCTAAAGCGGAAGCGTTGGAAGTGTCTGACCCTCTTCTAAAGTCGGTCATGTCCGTGGCTTAGGCGGTAGACGACATGAACTGCCACCAGATACTGAGCGGTGCCTGTAACGCTGGCGACCGGTGTTTCGCCGTCGGCAGCGTGGAAGGCGTACCGTTCACTGTAAGTATTCATCGCCCGAACCGTCAGAAGTTGCCCGCTACGTGTCGCTCATCGTCTGTGTCTGTGTTTAGGCTTATGCTGCCGGATGTAACATTGTGATACTGGCAAGCACATTCGAACGGGTGCAAATCATTCCTGGTGCGATACACAACTACATCCGGATCAGTTGTTTGGACTGTTCAACGGACACGGGTAAGATAGCGGCTGCCTATGACAATCAGATTTGTGTCTTTGAGCCAACTCCGCTAGTTTGCAAAAATTCACCCCATGTAAGTTCATTATTAGAATCATTAAATATTATTGTTTACACCCTAGACACACCCATACACTTTATAACCTGATAAACTTTTGGCTTTGTATTTTTTTTTTTTTTTAATTGAACCCCTTTTTATTAATACAATTAAAAAATTAATATTTCTCTCATATTTCTGTGTACCTAAGCAATGATTTTTTTACAATTGGTTTTAGGTTCTATTTTTTTTTTAATGTTGTATACGATATGTTAATATTAGCAATTTATCATATAAACAATCTATATGCTATTATTGGTCAACAATACTAAGTACTGTAAATTATTGTTACAATTAATAATATAATACAATAGTTTATGCATAAACATTAAGTATCTACAAAAAATATATAATATAATAAGCCTTCAAGGAATATATGGGATTAAATAAGGACCAAACCTAACTTTACCTGTCTTATTTTATTAAATTTACTATTTTTCCACACATTTACCCTGTTTTATAAAAGGTACAAGCATGTATAAACCAACTTTAGTAATTAAATATAAATCTCAAAAGTACCTATCCTATCACTAACTTGAAAATTGTTTAAATCTTTGTTTACAAACAACTCCAACTCTGGAGATTCTATATACTAACTGATACATAACTATACTTTAATGAAAACAAACTTTTACATAATATACAAGTATAACATTTATTAATGAATATGATTTTATTCACTTTCAATTATTTTGAATTTTGAAATGATGGAAACTTATATATATTAATAAATAGATATATATGAGTATACAAAATTGTAATAAATACAAATTCACTTCTTTAAAACATTAGTTGAATATATGTGTAAAGATTTTAAAAAAATTGTATCAAATTTTCTCATACTTTTATTTACAACTCATTTCAAATATTCATGGATTACTATTGATATGCATAATATTTTTATCATATATACCTAATATAGTTATAATAATATATGATGGTTTGAAACAATTTTGTTTTTTGTGTTTATGAAACAGTTATTAAATAACAATAATTATGTGAAAACACTTTACAATTGATTATTGACAATTAATCCACTTGAAATATTGTTTATCTTTATGTTATACTATAGGTGATATACATATTACTTCTTAGGAGAAAAATATAATTAATTGGTCAACTATAAATTTTAAGTTATTAATTTTTTTTAATCAAAAATCCATCATAACCTTTTGCACATTATATAACCATTGACAAAAATCAGTTTTAAAAATAACTGTGTAGTATCATTTGGAATCTTCTAAGTATAAATAACATTAAATAATAACACAAACTACCTACATGAAAAATTTTTGAATTTTAATCATTATTTGTTTTAAACATGAAAAATATTTAAATATTTAATTATTTAGTTTCAATTATTGATTGAGTAATTAAAAAAAAAAAAATGTTGCACGTGTAAAATAATCTTTTGCTATTTATTACCTAATTATTTGATTTATTTTATTATAATTTTAGCAATTGGATTATAAATGGGTGGAGACTGCTAGCTGGCGAACTGCTTGTCGTATAAGCTGTTTGTCATGGAATTTAGAAGGTACCAGGTTGCTTACAGGAGGTACAGTTTTACAACTATGGCATCAACAATTACCAGATGAGCCCTTAGAAGAAAATACTGGTAAATTATTTTTGTAATTTTTATCATTAATGTGTATAATATTATATTTATAAAATCAAGTAAACATATTATATTAATAATTTATTTTATACACTTTAAAATTATCAACATTTACATTGAAAAATTTTAAGAAATAATTAAATTATGTTATTTTTGATTTTTTTTTTATAAACTATTAACCCAAGTTAAAAAAACAAAATTTCTGTGCAATTAGTCATACCTTTATTTTATTCTAATATTAATGACACAATCTTTGTTTCATAATAGATGTCTAGCATTATTTATCATATTCTAGTGTAATTATTATTTATACAAAAATTCCTTTCAAATAAATTGAATATTATATGTAATTTATTTAAATATGTTATGTTATATAAATAAATTTGTTAATTAGCCAACTTATATAATATTTTTACTTAAACTTATATTACTTAATTACTTATTCGAGTTTATAAATTATTATTTTTGTTTTGTATTAATATATCAATAGCGATTGTATTAATTTTAAAATAAGATTGTACATATTGCCATACTATACTTGAGCCCTCATGAGCATTTAACCCTTATAAATAAATAACACATTTTTGTTGGTATAGTATAGAATTAAATTTTGTTAATAATTAAGGTAAATATTTCATTAAATACCTGTAAGTCACAATAATAACTCGGCTTTTTTGATCTTGTTACAATATTAATATTTTATATAGGAATGACAAGTGATGGAGTAACATTTGAGATTGGTGAAGAAGCAATACCAATGTCAACAACAACGTCCTGTAACTGTGAAGTCCGTGGATGGGAATGTGTTTGGCAAAAAGAAACTGCAACTCCTGTAGTACACATTGCATTTTCACCAGATGGAACATTATTTGCTACTGCTGGAAAAGATGACAGATTGGTCAAAATTTGGTTTGAAAATAAACAATGTGAGTATGATAAGGATTTTAATTACAGTTGTTGAAAGTCTATATGTTATAAAAAATAATTATGTGCCAACATTATAAATAGATACTAAATATTAATATACTAAATGAGTATAAAACATACTCATGTTAAATCCAATGTTTTGTTGATTTTTTATCAGCTTTATAACATTACTTAAAGTGACAAAGTAAAAAAAGTAGAAAACAGCTTACATTTTATTAACACAAATGTGTTAATTCATTATATTTTGATATTTTGGTGGTAACAATTATGATTTCCATTTCGATTTTTTTTTAAATCCAGTCATAATACTATTAAATTATTGACGAATAAAATTATTATTATGAAAGTATTAATTGGTTCCATATTATTGTTTATATGAAATCACAAACTTGAAACTTTACAAAATTATTTGAGATTTTTAATTGTAAAATTTAATTTATTCCTTTTGTGTTGTTTTAATTTAACGATACAACTATTCCTTTTTATATTTGTTCAGAGTAACGGGTTTGTAATAACAACATTTATTTTACTTAAAAATAAAATTGAAATTTTACTTGTTTCTAATATTTATTAAATTAATTAATATAGTACTTTTTCCATCCAAAAGCGTCGATCAGAATTACTCAATGAGTGCTATTTCTAATTTTGGTGAACCAAATTACGGTTTTGTATACATAGCTCATCCTCGAGCTGTAACACAATTATCATGGAGAAAAACCAGCAAATACATGCCAAAGTAATTTGTTTATACTGCTTGTTGGTTATTATTGTAATATAAATAAGCATTCTTTTTTAGGGGATCTGTTTCAAATATGCTAGTAACATCATGTCGAGATAATATTTGCCGATTATGGTCAGAAACTGTTTTACCAGATGATGGTTTAGTAAATATGAGCCATTTTGATCCATTAGCTGCTCATAATCCACGATTTCGAACACATAGACATAAGCATAGACTTCTTCAACGACTTAAACATATGAAGTAATTAATTAATACTTAAATAGTTAAACAACCTCTAAAATTATCAAAATTTTTTTTTTTTTCATAGAGCTTGTTTTCATATACGAAGACATGCTAAACATCAAGGAGATCTGGGAACTGGTATAGCTGGAAGTACAAGTTCTACAATACCAACATTACCATCTACATTCAGTGTTCACGATTTTCATAGTTACGGTTTTCATGGTACTGGTATTATTCCTGGACTTCATTTTCATTTAGCTGCAAGCATTAATGCTGAAACTGGTAATCTCAATAATTTTTTTATTTAAAAAAAAGTCTTTATAAACAATATATTTAAACTAAACTTTCTTTTTTTTTTTTTTAGACATTCCATTAGTGCCTAGTTTATCAAGCACTGACCCTGAAAGAGAACCAAATTTTGTTCTCCATTGGCTCAATAATAAAGAAATGCATTTTTCACTCCAGGCAGAAGCAATACTAAATGTATATTAATTTATAAGTTATAATTAGAGCTCAGAACTTGGTGCACTTAAAAACAATAATATATGTGCATACATATGCATTAAATAAATATTTAATATGCGGGTGGTATAGTTGATTAATTTTTATAAAGTATACATTTTTATGGATATTAATTTTAAAAAATGCATAGTAAATCAAAAAGTGTCATAATATGCAATAATAAGGATACAATTTATTTTTAACTAAAAATAATTAGTATAGAGTAATTTAAAATATAAATCATCATATTACAAAAACACATAATTCTGAAGACTTAATTTAAAAAAATTTTTATTTATCATCAAAATGTGTGTTAACACGTTTGCTGTGGCTCAATTTTCTATACACAATCCCCAGTACTGGTCAAATTTACGGTTTTCTTTTTTTATGACGCCCATTACAAATATAGAAAATTTGAAGTACGGATTGCACACACATATACAGTAATATACACTGAACAATGCTGACAAATAAAAAGATTAAAACACAACGCTGGCCAAATTAAAAATAGTTGAAAATGAATGTAAAAATAACGCCTTAAGGTGTCATCCCGCAGCGAACGTGTTAGTATATGTGTATACAATTTTTAAATAAATAAAATCACTTAAAGTTGTATTATGTAACAAATTTGTGTCAAAACAGATTTTTAACATGTAAATTTAAAAAAAATATGCAAATACATGAAGTTTTGAGCTTTAGCAAATAAAAACTAACTACTATTATTATTTATTAATATGTTAAATATTTGTTTAGGAATTAACCAAAAAAGTAGTTGAAAAAGATGATATGCTTATAAATGAACAATTTATAATATCAGAACATCATGATGTCGAGTATAATGATCCTAGACGAAAACAAAATAAGCTTGGTAAAAGTACATCACAAGATGAAAGTGTCAGTGATGAACATAGTTGTCCATCAACTCATCCTACATTGAGGTAATTTATATTACATTTAATATTTACTGTTATTATTATATAAATAATAACACTCATATTTTTGTTATTATTTTACTTTAGCAATACAACATCTGTAAATTCATTTACTACTGATACAAATCATATAACCACTGATTCTCTTGATAATAAAATTGAATGTCTCCTTCGTGACTGGCATCATAGTCCTGATTTATTATTTGCTGTCCATCCTATTGATGGGAGTTACTTGATTTGGGTAGTTGATTGGTTGGATGAATACCATCCTGGTTCATTTAGACAAGCCCAAGTTTCTTTTTCAACTAGAATACCTAATGCATTCCCTCTTGGAGATGCTACTACAATGTCACATAATGTATGTTTATATCATACTTCTGGATCAAGTTTACAGCTAGCATTTAGAGATGTAGTTAAAACTGCTGCTGCAGCACCAAGCAGATCACCTAGTGATGTTCATGGTTAGTTAATTATTTGAGTTTTCATACACTACATAGTATAAATATATTTTTTTATTACTTAGGTATAAATGGTGATTATGGTGATTCAAGTCTTCCTAGAGTATTAGAGGAAGATGGTGACTCTTTAGCAGGTGACATTGATTTACATCATCAGAACGAATCAGTTGAACCATCATCATTGAATGAAAATGGTAAACCTAATCGAGCCAGTTCAACTACTGGTGAAGATTCTGGAACATTTAATGATATAATATCTGCTCCACCCTGTCCAACTCTGTCAATGGTCACTAAACATACTAATGGAACCTTAAATTTATGGCAATTAACCTTTGCTGATAAATCTAAATTTTCTCAAGTCCTAAGTATTGGCCATGCATCTCGAGCTTCTGGTCATCGGTTCCGTGTAAATGATGTAACCTGCCATCCTGTATTACCATTATTGTTAACTACTTCTCATCACAATTTGCCTGATCAAGAAACTCCAGCTTCTCCGTTATCACCTAATCCGCCTCCTATTGCTCAACCGCCATCAGTGAGTATATAAACTTTAAATTTAATAAAATTTACAATTTTATACAACAAATGCTTTTACAGGGATTTTGTAGTGAACTTATTTTATGGAGAGTTGATGCAGTTGGGCCACTTTCTAAATCTGGCGGTGTTTCAGAACTTGCTCGTATAAATTCACTTCAAATATCAGCATTTTCAAATGTTGCTTGGATTCCAACTTTACTACCAAGGTTTTTCTAAAACTTATTTATTTATTTTTTGTACTGTTAAATTAGTTTAATCTAAAATATCTAATTTATTATTATTAGTACTACATTGGGTACATTATCAAATTCTCCGAGTGCTTGTTTTGTAGCATCAGATGGAGAATGTTTACGTGTTTATCAAGCTGTTATAGATGCCAGAACATTATTGGCTGAAGTGTCCAGTTCAGAACATAGGAGTCGTATGGCTGCAGTAAGAGATATAGTTTTGATATAGTTTTTCTATAAATAAGCATTTAATGCTTTGTTGTAGGACTCAATGGTGAGTTTATCAACTGATGTTTCTTCAGAAAATGATTTGAAACACAACTCATTACACGATCGCATAAAAATTGTTTCCCAACAATCTACTGCTAGACCAGGATGTATTATTCAATTGGACGCTATATCTGATGCAACACATGTAAATTTATATTTAATTATAAATTATTCAAAATCAAATAATAATTATTTTCATTATAGGATTGGCAAAATACTCAATTTTTACATGTGTTTCAAGAACAATTAATGACTGGAGAAAGAGCATCTGGTAGAGGTTTAGTAGATGCTATTTCAGGTCAAGACAGCGAAGAGCCTGATGATGATTTTGAAGAACCATTTTATTTAGTAGTGCTTGAACGGACTGTTCAAGGTACAACTGTACATATGTGGCGTTTAATAATAGCCTCTCAACCTGAAAATAATCGTATGTTCAATTTCAATTTCTGTTTATCAAATATATAATATTTTTATTTCATAAATAGCTTTAAGTGAAAGTATGATGTATGTACCTGATAGTCAATTGGTACAAGATGATGATGATATGGACAATTCAGGAAAACTAGGTGCCACAAATTTGGGTGGTGAAGAAACAACTCAACCAACATTATCAGCTTTTGCCCCTCATGTTTCAATATCAACCATAAAGGTAAGTTATTATTATATTAATTAATATAAACATTTTAAGTTAATTTGTTGAATTACCAAGTAGTTTAATGAATTGTATCATAAAAATAAAAAATACAATTTAATAATTCATTGACTATTTTTATTAAACTATTCACACAAAGTTCTACAGTATTTAATTTTTTTAAATATTCATATTTCACTTTAGATCTGTACACAAGAATTAAATTTACCCGATGGTGTTGATGTAATTCATGCATCTCCAGCTGGAGGACATTTAAGTTCAGCTTCCATTTACCCAGCTTGTTTTGCGCCATATGTATTTGTAACTGCATGTTCAGATAGTACACTACGATTTTGGAAATGTAAAATTTCAAAAACAGCCGATGATGTTAGTTACCAGTGGGTTGAATGGGAAATGATAAGAAAAGATCGTAAATCCATGATAGAAATATCAGGTAAAATTTTATCTAATACTGAATAATCAGCATATTTTTATTAATATTTATTTTTAGGTCAACCATTAAACATAAGTGCAGCATATAGTGGTCGTATTGCTTGTGCGTACAAATATGGAAAGTCATTTACTCGACCATCAAAAAAAGACCCAGAATCAAGATATGTGAATTTATGTGTGGCTATTTATGAGTGTGAAAGTACTGGTGGTTCAGAATGGTTACTTGAGGACACAATACACATGAAAAATATTCACTTGCCCAAACTTCATATTGATCCTAGTGTTGATTTGACTTATTTACATGACCAAACAATTCTGTCATCTAAAAAACATAAGTTACAGTCTACAGTTTTAAAAGCATTATCATCAGAAGACTTGGATGGAACCACTGGAAGATGTAATGGTAGAAATGGAGAAAATGAAACTAATTTAGTTAAAAGTAGTCATGGTAAGTTAATTGTATAAATATCTTTTGAATATTAGTATAATAATATTTTACCAACTTTTCACTTTTCAGGTTTATTAGCTGTTCCTAGTTTTAGTACTCTTCAATCATTAAGAAAATCTATTATTGAAAATGGAAATACTTGTCCGTTAACTCAAAAACATATTGTCCAATTAGATTGGGTTTCCAAGGAAGATGGGTCTCATATACTGACTGTTGCTGTTGGTAGCAAGGTAAATTATTGTTTAATGATATGTATATAAAATATTAGTTGGATTTTTATGTTATAAAATCATTAATTTCTTTTATACTTTTTAATTTTTATTTGTAAATAGATAATGTTATTTACACCAGTATCTAGCGATTTAGCTCAAGCTAATATGAAAGCAATGAAAGAATCCCAATCAGTAAACCGTCCAATATTAAGAAAAGCTTCATCACTAGCTTCTCCCAATTTTGTTGATGAAATAAGGTAATTTTAAACTAAATATTAACTGATGAGTAATTTATTGAATGTAAAACACCCATTATTTTAAAATCGTACAGTTTTAATTTTATGTTTCAAAGCAAAATATTATTTAGAATATGTTGATACTACATAAAAATCAAATATTGAATGAACAGTAAATTAATAATTAGTTGAGTATTTATAATTAAAACGAGCAAAGAAGCAATAAATATTTTGTGAGATACACCTGTGTCAATATACTTTGCTCCACTTATCTTAACCTAAATTACTTAAAATAGTTACAAATTGCAAGCTACTCATTCAAATATCGATTTTTATACATCCAAAACACTCTGCTTCAAAATAAAAAAAATAAAATATTTTCATTAAAAAAAAAGAAGAGTAAAAAATTACAACAATATAAAATATTGTTTAGTAATAATTTAAAATATGTATAAAAAAAAAAGTGTAAAATGTTAATAATTTTTGAGAATAATTAGTATTCTTGTATAAATGAACTACTCCCAATGCCAAATTCTAAAACATGCAATGAATGTCTATCAAATATTTACAATAATACTGATCAATATTGTTGTTGATAATTTAAATTTAATTTTTTTAGATGGATGAAACTCAGAAAAATTGATCTTACTACAGCAGATGGTTTACCTCCATTGCCAATGCAAATTTCTTGGGTTCGTGATGGTATATTAGTTGTAGGCATGGACAGTGAAATGCATGTGTACTCACAATGGAAACCAAATACATGTTAGTGGATTAGATAATTATCTTAAACTATTTAATTAACAATTTAAAATATTACTTAAATATAAACTATGTTTAGATATAATACAAAAGAATGCTTTGTTGTGTTGTAAGTTGATACATCAAGAATCTGATGAGCTTCAAGACACTAGAAATCTAAGAGATGAAGATCTTAGAACATTGGCGCATGTAATTTGACATATTTGAACAACAAAACACTTAAACAATAACTATTGTATTTTGTATTGTTATTATACATAGGAAACTTCCCAAAGAAGATTGGCTAATGTCAGTTCAATGCCTCATTTGTCTCGTGTCAGCTCAATCAATTTGAATATGTTAACTGCTGAGACAAAAAAAAAAGAAATTGGGTATTCAGAATGGTGATTCTTCTAATAATATTCAAGATTCGTATATGCCAGATTATGGATTATTTGAAGCAAGTCGTATTGCATGTCCAGTTCTTCCTCAATACCATCCTAAACAATTAATGGAACTGTTGAATTCTGGAAAAATCAGATGGGTGAAAGCGATTCTTGCACATCTTGTTAGGTAATTTATCTTACAAATTAATAATTATTATACATTTCATTACAAAAATTAAATTACATTTGTAGATGTATTTCAACAACATGTAGTGTAAGACAAGGTGCTGTTGTATGTTCATATTCAGAAGAAGATAATTTAACTCGCCAAAGAGGATGGTCAAGATCAAGAACATTATCTGTGAGCTATGCTGGAGCTGGTAAGAAATAACTTAATAAGAAAAATATTTTGAAGGTATTCATTTGTTTATAAATATGATTATAATTATTAGCTACAAGTCCAATGGAACCTAGAGGATCTACTACAGCTATTCCAGAGGAACTGATGTTGGATTATGCAGAAATAACCTCTATTCCACCTTTACCTTTATGGACATTATTAGCTGCGGATAAAGAAAACGCCAGTACTGCTCTTAAGTTAGCTGAAGATGAAAAAGATTATAACGAATTATTTAATGGAAACATTTCAACATCAGAAGACAATCTAGATGACATATTGAATGATGAATCAGAACCAGAAAGCCCTCGTAGATGTGAACGTCAATCTAATGCAACAGAAAAACAACAATGTTTACTTTCTCATTTTGGGCCAAAACAAGGTCAACTTTTGTCTCGTCTGTTAACTCATACCCATTTACCTGGCTTATCGAGTTTAGATCAAATGCATTTATTAGCTCTTGCTGATACTGTATCTACATGTAACACTGATTTTGCTGATAGATTTGTCGACAAAACTCAGTTTGCTAAAGACAGTTCAGCTCCTCATGAAGGAGAAGTGTGTTCAGGTTAGTTTGAGAGAGACAAATTTGAAGGAATAAAAATTAATTATGAGTATATTATAAACATTTTAGATTCGTTGGATGACTGTGGTCTTAGATTTTTGTTGGCCATGAAGCATTATAATTATTTATTAAGATGTTTGGGTGTAGCTCAACGTACGCAATTTCAAAAAAGAGGCATGTGTTCAGCAGATATTGCGTGGGCATTCCATTCTGAAAGTGAAGAAGAATTATTACAATTAACACCTTCTTATGTACGAGGTACTCCACGTTGGTCAGCATTAAAAGAATTAGGTGTTGGGTGGTGGCTCAGAAATCAAACACTATTAAGAACATGTATTGAGAAAGTAAGTTTTTATTTCAAAATATAAATTTAAAATTAAGTGTTATTAATTAAAATAAAATAATTTCCAGATTGCAAAAGCAGCATATCAGACAAATCAGGATCCTCTGGATGCTGCTATATTTTATCTTGCAATGAAAAAGAAGTCTTTAGTTTGGGGATTATTTAGGTCCAAAAGAGATGAGCGAATGACTCAATTTTTTTCCAATAACTTTGCTGAAGACCGTTGGCGAAAAGCAGCACTTAAAAATGCATTTGCATTACTTGGAAAACAACGATTTGAACACGCTGCTGCATTTTTCCTTTTAGCTGGAGCTCTTAGGGATGCAATTGAAGTAATTTTTTTGTATCTTTTATAAAATACATTAAATATTTAAATATAAATAATATTATTAAAATCAAACTTGATATTTAGGTATGCTTAAATAAACTAGATGACTTACAATTAGCTATGGTGATTGCTCGATTATATGAAGGTGAAATTGATTCTACTCCACCCAGTCTTAAACGGCTTTTGTATGAGGTATGTACAAATCAATTGAATTATGTTCATTCATAGTTTAACTTAATTTTTGTAGGAAATACTTGGTTGTGACCAAAATGGTGAAAATCAAAAATTATCTATGGCTAATCCAGACCCATTCTTACGTTCTATGGCTCTTTGGATACTTAAAGATTCTACTGGAAGTCTTAATACTTTAGTCCAAATGAATGTAGGTACAATGCATCCACAATATAATGATGAAGAAAAGCAAGAAACTTCAGCTGGTATATTTAAAATACATAAAATATTTTAATTATTAATATTCATATTTATTTATTTATTTTGTTTGTATTGTTTGTAGCAAATCCAAATGTGTTCAATTTCTACGTTTATCTTCGTACACATCCATTATTGATAAGACATTATTTGGCATCCACTTATCAAGATAAAAAGAATCATACTGTAGTATTAGCTGGTTTTAGCTATGGTTCTGATGCCAGGTGTAGGGAAACTTCGGACCGACAAGTAACTAAAAAATTATATTTGAATTTGAAATCAGATTTTATCATGTACTATATTTTTCAGTTGATGTTAGAAGATTCCATTTCTCCATTAGAAAGACAATTATACTTCAAAACTGCACATGCCCATTTTAAAGCAGGATGTCCTGCTCTTGCTCTTGAAGTTTTATCAAAATTACCAAGTAAAATAATGGATCCTTCTACGGAACAATCTAATAGTGAGTACATTTATGCTAAATCATTATTATTAAATTATTTAACCCATTTAAAAAGATTAGATATGTCATTTAATACAATATACATTTAAAAATTTCAAGCTGAAACTACGTAAAATTCTTTTTATCGTCTAAAATGTGTATAAGTAGTTTTTGAAAAGTATATGATATATCATAATGTTTTTATCTATGATGAATCTTATCATTCATTTAAAATCTACCTAATTTTATATAACTACCAACTAACCAAAATATAATGTAGGAGAGGCAGGTGTATACTAGCCCATTAAGACTCTGGGAAAATATTGTTACGCCTTCTTTAAATTATAAGACTTGAACCTCTATCTAGACGATTATTTTATAGTTTTGTTGTAGTGAAACAAATAGGTAGATCATTTTTCTAATGCTATAGCCTATAGGAATAAACAGTAAAACTCTTTACTATTATTAAATAGGTAAACCCTAATTATATTTAGTTTCTAAATAGAGAAAATGAACCCAGTAAGGGACTGTTGAGGGGTATTTTACTTGAATTTTGGTGAGATTGTCTATTATATGTAGAAATCACTAGAAATGAATATCTAAATTACCTTGCAAAACAAATGAAACTAAGTTTTTGGAATATATTTTTTTCTTTTATTTACCTATCAAAAATGTTCTTTAAACAATATTTTAATTTAAGAATCTAATTTTTAGATTTCTACAAATTTTGTTGTAATTAATAATCCTACATGTAAATTATAGTTTTTTAATTGTTTGATAATTAAAAATATATAATATCATAATTATTATAAATTAATAATATATAATATTAATATAATATATTAATTATTAAGATTTTTATACTGGAATTTTTAAAAAATATAATTTTATAATAATCATAAAACCTATAAAATTGAAAAAAAGTTGTTATAAAAAATGTGTTAAGTTATATACTTATGTAAATTTTCTATACATCTTAACCAAGTGCTAATATTTTAAATTGTTTTCACACTTTTTACAAAAATTTAAATTAAAGATTTATTTTCTTTTTTATTTAAATAAAATTAAAAAAAAAAAATTTTATAATACTTAACTTCCTTGATTTATAAATTTAAGACCCCTTTTATTACAACATAAAAATTTATTACATACATAATATACAAAACAGCTAAATGTTCATTAAAAAAATGAAACACATCTTTCTCAATAAGTAACAATATTTTTTATAGTATTTATGAATTTAAATCATTTAGATGAAATAATTAAGTTAGAAAAATATAATATACTTTAAATAAGTTTAATCAATGCTTAAATTTTTAAAAGAATGTACATTTTCATCTTCATCAATAATTGTTGTATTTACTTCATCTTTAACACTACCATTTCTAAATTTTTCTTCATCCAAAAAGTAATTGCGATTATCCAAAAGTCTTTGTTTTAAAATTTCTAAAAACATTAAAACAATATTTGTTAATAGATGTTTACCACAATATTTACTAAAACTTGAAAAACTTGAATTTACCATTAGTTTCCTTCATAATCGGCGCAAGGCCACCATAGTCCTTCGGCACAATTGTTTGTGGCAATGTTTTTATAAATTCACTAGTCTTTGAAACTGATTTTATTATAATCTGTAATAAAAATAAATTTTATTGACTTAGACAGTTATAAAATGTATGTACTTAAGTTTATATATACTCGTATATTACTTTATTTATTAATGAAGCGCTCATGAACGGTTTTAACATTGAGTATACTCTTTCAGTTCCCGAGGTGACGTTGAGAATATAAATCTTATCGATCACAAATGGCGTACCTTCCTAAAAGTATAAATTGTACAAGTATAAAATCAAATTGCTTAAAAAAAATCGATCGAATTTTACCTGAACGTATAACATTAAATGTCTTGCGTTTGATAGGGAGTAACGTAATGCGTGACTTAAGCCAAAATTATTTGAATCCAGTACCATTCTGTACCCTGACTTAGTACCGTGTTCTATTTGATCGAGTTCGATGGCCATAAAAGTTAGTTTTGACGCTACGGTTGGATAATATTCTGAAGCATCCATGATTTTCAACTGCGACCATATATAACCGTAGCGATTTTCTTCGTCGGGAATTATGTTTATGTTACTGAATAACAAACGCACTTTGGTTATTATTCGCATAAATTATCAAAATAAAACAATTCTCATGGACAATTCATGTTTACTTACACAACATCTAATTGTCTTTGATTGAAAGGATGAGCGGGATCTCTTGCCGTAAAGAAGGGTGCGCATTTCTTAGCCCGTAAATTATAGCACTGGCTAATTACCTTTTTTGCATACTCTTTATCGTAGTCACACGCGTGCAAAAACATAATAATCTGAATATCTGTAGAAAATAATAAGATGTTAATTTTCTTATATGTGTTATTATTGAAAATATTTAGCAATCTAAAAATGTTAATACTTAATATATCAAAAACAAATACTAAATGTATAGGTATAGCAGGTTAAATTCAATATTTACCAATTTATTCATGTTTTCTGGATCTTAACTATGATAAATATTCACAGAAAAACAAGTTGGCAACAAAATCAATTTATCGAAATTTTTTAGCTAATACTCAAAAATAAATCGATGATTAAATTGAAATTACACATAAATATAAGTTGGTACGTGTCATAAATAATATTTACTAAAAATAAAAAATAAGTGATGATTGTTTAAAATGTCCTTTAAAATATTTAGTAAAGTACATTATGGTAAATTGTACGTGCTAAAATGTTATTATATAAAGCTCGGCATAATGTATGATATGAAAAAGTGTTTTAACATAAAAAAAAATATTCATGAGTACATACTATAAAATATTAATTAAATTATTGTTTACAAATGTATTAAAAACATTTTATTATTATGTAAACGATGTATTATTTATTTTTTCATAATATAAAGTTTATTATAAAAAAAATCGTTGTTGACCTTAACCTAATAGTTAAAAATTAATTTTTTTATAGATTTCTTCCATTAACTTTTGATATGATCTACTACGACTTTTCTTAATAGCACTTTTTTTTAAATATTAGTTACAAAGAGTTAAAATAATATATTAAAAACGAGATGTTTTTTTATATTTAACTTAAAAATTGAATGTAATTTTAAACACTCACCAATCAATTTTCCATATAAATTTATATTTTCATCACTCCACTTGAGAAGCTCTTCTACGTCAGCGGCAGATAATTGTGGATTTTTTTCATACTCTTGCTGAGCACTAACTTTAAAATATTTCTCCAAAGTTATCATTATTGTTAAAAAAAAATTGTAACTCTGCGAATATTTTTACTAAAAATTTTAAGTATACAACGCATAAATTAAACTATATTAAATTATTTGATTAATATTACATATTATATGAACATCATATTAGAGAGTGGCTGTTCACCGTTCGACCTCGTTTATGTGACTACCTCTGGAAGTCAACTCTACGTGTCTTCTATACTGCTTTGTCCTTGAATATAACTGGTCTTGCGTACCTCTGACGTATAAGATTTGTTTTTAAATTTAAAAAAATTAACAAGTTGATAATACACTGAGGTTTTGAATAATTAATACCCATTGTAAAATAAAAAAATAATTACCCTTAAAAACTCATCATTTTTAGTACTCCGTATTATAATTTCGTTTGCTTATAGATTATTAGTATCTTAAATTTCTATAATTGTTCTGATTAAATTAGTTTAATTATATCTTTAAAATGAAAAAGTGATTTTATATGAAATTACAGGAAATGTCATATTATACATCCATTTATTTTAAATTAAAAGAATTCTCTATAAATTATAATTGTTAACAAGAATTCACTTTAAATATTTGCACAGTTGCCCAGAGATAAATTTTAAAAACATACCTTTTGTATTTGCACGATTCATTTTTGACCAATGAAGTGTTTACTTTGGTCGAATAATCAAATATATTTTATTTGATTTTAAATTAAATAATCACCATAATATTAGAAATTATAACATAAAATTAGATTTAAAGAAACTTTTAGTAATTTATTAATTGCAACTAATTAGTGTATAGTTATCATGTTATGACCTTGTTGGTGATTCAATTAATTACTAAATTTTTATTAGCGACTAGTTTCATTTGGAAGGAAAACTACTACAATTCTGTATTATTTAAATAAAACTCGTATTATTTAAAGTTGTTCCTAATATTGTATTTTCGCGTTATTTGTTTTCTATCTTGATCACAAGCCCAACACAAAAAGTATGTATTTAAGCATTTAACAGAATCAACCTTGTATTATGTTGTTAGGTGTTGTATAAAAATAAATTGACATGTTATCAAACTTAAAGTTATGTACATTATCTGTAATTGTACGTTGAATTTTTCACAGTATTTAAATTTTTGTGTGATATACGTATGAAAACTTCTAAATTATATTTTTTTACTTTCTTGTGATTCAAATTTATATATCTTAAAAGCCAAAATACGAACACACAGATAATATTTTTTACATTAAGTTTGGATATTGATCAATCATCTTTAATATTTTAACCTTTTGGCTATTGGTTCTACTGAACTCAAATTTTCTATGTTATACGTTGGTCAGAGAGAGAAAACAAATAGTGCACTGACATCCTCTTAACGGTGAATTATGTTGTAAAATTAATTCAAAAATCAAAACTAATAAAAAACGAATTACTGGGTACAGCATTTATGGCTTCCCTCGTAGAGTACTTACCTAAGATCATAAATAATAATATGTTCTACCCTAAACCATTATCAATATCATTAATTATTCATTATTGTTAGGTATCAAATTTACTCGTTGCTGATATATTTCTTTATATTTAGTTATTATTTTTATTCTATAACAATATATTAATATGCTCCCCCTCCTTTGATTTAAATATTCGTAAATATTTGAATTTAAAAGCTATTCAATGCATATTAGCTAATATTTATGTATTAAATCAAATAATGAAACGATGAAAATTATAATTAATATATTAATGATTTATGCTTTGTTAAAATATTTAATTACACCTGTCATTTCGAGGTGGAGCCTAAGTAAGTGACCCAGATGCCTCTCTCTTTGTTTATGCCACTAAGAATTTTTGTACCACTGGTGTATTCAAACATATAATACTTAATTATAGTTAAAAATTAATGAAAATCAAACTTTAAACGGTTTTATGCAAAAACGTTTTCAAAATATTAATACGGACCTAATAATAATATTTTAAAATACTATTGAGATTTTAATTTTATATTCTTATAGTTAATAAATTATATGAGAATATACTTAGTCAAATAAATATAATAATGGTATATGATTTTTCATTAAAAACTAACTTGCACCTACTTTCTCTTATCACGTACTATTATATATAATATTATTATATCTTTTAATTATCAAACTTTCCATCATTAATTATTAGTTATTGCAACAAAAGCAAAAATGATTTATTATCACTAAAATAAATTGAACTATTTTTTAATTATATCAGTATAGTATTTATAACGGCATAAAAAAAGTATTCAAGTATAAACGATAACTGTAATATAATATTTTGGAATATAATTTTATAGTTAAAAAAATTTATCAAAACAAATGTTATTTTAAAATAAAAAATATATACAAAACGTATTCTATCAATAAAATTATATTCAGTAATAGCCAGGCCTGTATTTAAGGGGGGCTCGGAGGGTCAATTGCCCATGGCAGCAATGTTAAAATTAGTTTTAGGGGCGGCAAATATTGAAATGGTCAAAAATGTAAAATTTATTTGTAGCTCATTTTATCTAATAAATATAATAATATACAAAAAAATAGTATAAAATATAATAATATAATTACACCAAAATAGATTTTGAATGTACCTATATAATAAAATTTTTATTCGTTATCAACTCGAATGTAACTATTTATTACTACAATTGTGTAATATCAATTAAAATATTTTTGTTTTTATTTTAAGGGGCGGTAAATTATATGTGGCCCTTAATGGCAATTTTTGTAAATACAGGCCTGGTAATAGCATTGGTTTTAAATGCTATACATTTATCGATGTTAATTATAATAAGTAATAACTAACGATAATAGCAATAACATTATAATTTAACGTTGTTACGATTCTAGTATTGGTTATTGTTCTAAAACAAAAATGCTGAACACAAATCGACTATACAATTATTAAAATTACTTATTATAGTTGATGTATTTCAAAGTAATACCCTACTTAAAGCATTGTTATAAATATTTACTTGGAGATCGTATGATAAATTTCATAATTTATTTATCATATTTCATATGCCTGTTATTTTAAAACTGGCCTAATCTTACCTAACCTGGAACGATATCCCAATAATTACAGCTATAATATTATAATTATAAGTTTTATTATGCAATATCAAAACGATATTAACATAGGTATTTATTTTAAACGTTTCAAAAATACTTTATAATTATGTGTATGTGTAGAGATTTCGTTTTACTAATCGTTAAGATGGCATATCAATGCATCATGTAACATTTTTCTACGTCTAACACATAAAATAATGTAAGATCCATCTTCGTGATTCACTTATTGTAATCACTGATTACATGCTTAAAATTAAAGTATCATAATTATGTATTCTGACAATTACAAAAATAATATTATCTAATTTGTCAGACGTTTATTTTAAATATTTGAGTAAATTTGATTTTTACAATATTTAACTTTTAAAAGTTAAAATATTAAAAACAAATTCTGAAAAAAAACACAGATAATATTATGTTTTAATAATTGAATTAGATTAAATTGTTAAAGTATAAGTTATAAATGTTAACGACGTAACAAAAAACCAAATAATATATGGAGGTTTTGACGTGTGTAAAACTGATAAAAAGTTTCAAGTTCTCGTAATCTTTATTTTAGTTTAAACATTAAATTTCTTCAAAATTTTAACTTCAAATATCTTAAAAAAATTACATAAAAATAATTTTCAAATTTTAGGATTTGTTAGCGTTTCATTTTCAAACGCTTATAAAGAAACATTAAGTATACAACATTTTTTTTCCGAATATTTGAGAGTATTTGTTATTTTTTTTATTTTTTTTTTTTTTTATCAAAATTTAAAATCAGAACAATATTACTTCTTGTATCCTATGAATGATGAAAGATTAAAAAAAAATACATCATTGTTGAACTAAACCAATACAATTCAAATCGCTCCGCTTAGCTTCTTAAATTAATTACTTTAGTATATAGTGATAAGTTAATAATTTAATTACTCTAATTTACTACGGTTATATAATAGGCAAATTGATTCGTAAACACAGAAGCTTTTTAATGACTTATAACTAATTGCGGTTATTACGTGTATTCCGATATCGTTTTACATTCCTGTATTCATATTATTTATATGTACGTATGAGTACAAGAAAATGTTTTAACAAAATATTAATACTTTAAAAATATAATATTCCCATGTATTATATTAAGTTCAGAATTTAAAACCATTTTTACAATGCATCTTTTAAGTAAATAGACTTAAAGTCGGTCTGAATATTTTTTAGACTGTTCAGTGTTCAGTTACCTAGTGTAGTAGTTGTAGTAGGATTTTATTGGTCTTAAGTTATTAGTACTTACGTCATTATAACGTTAATAATCTATAGGAGCTGTACAATCATAATATATAGGCACATATCGATATCGGTGATCGAAGTGAATGTAGTCACCAATCTTTACCACATAATAATATTTTTCTAAACTAATGTGTTGAAACGAAACGGATAGTTCATCAATCGCTACGATATTACAAACTTAGATTGATTTCTATTACTGTTTCTCAAGTATAATTTAAATGCGAATACGATGGCACCTATGTAGGTATACTATAATATACTGGTTAATAATTTATCGCTATAATGTATGGAGAGGTTCTTGCAAACTTAAACCCTTCCACGTGCATTTCATTTTTCTATCAAACATAACTGGTGATTCCCTCCCCATGTATTGTAGGAATCAAACGCTTGACCTAATGACCTTATAGTATTGGATCATTAATTTAACAACTATGTATATTTTATGAACTACCATTTAACATATTTGTGTTCGATCAATATCTACAAGACTACAGCAGTTTTTCAATGTTTTTTTTTACACATTCTCCTTAGTATTGACTAAAATAACACATAGGTAGTAATATTAAATTTCAATCAACCATCACCAAAAATATATGAATGTATATAAATAAAAGTAAAACTTCCATATTTTTAAAATTCGTTTTGATTTTAATTTTAGAATTATATCATTAAAAATATTTCTTAATTTTATTTTTTTATTTTTTCTATAGATATTATCATTGTTACTAAACTCTAATTATTATTGAATACCTATATACTTATATGTATAGGAACTTATGTATTTTGAACTTTATACTTGGTTTCTTAATACTTAGGTATTCTTAAAAAAAAAAAATTGATTTTCAAAATAAGTGTTTTTTTTAAACTTTTATTATAAATAGATTTTATATACTTACGGATTACGACTATATATGTTATGTGATATGTAACAATTAAATATTGATTAGCGTCATTTCATCACTAGTTAGGTAGTTTATAATTTAACGAAACAGAAAGTGCTGGTAAAAAAATAAATGTATTTTTACTTGTTATTTTGTTGGTAGCTAATATCATTCACATCGTTTAAGTGTTAAATCATTTGTAAAAATTATTATTTATTATATACTTGACTGTACATACAACATACATATTTTTGTCATTAGATGAGATTGACGTAACCGTCATTCGCCTATACGTGGGTCATAATATCATATTATTCTGTAGGTTCATAGGAATATAAATATAAACAATTATTTTTAATATTTACGATATATCTATTTCAATGGAAATCAAACTGAAGTTATATGTAATTATATGACTAATATGGAACTATCTAGTTTATTTAATATTTAATTTAAGTATAATTAGTATTTTTTCTATATTTCTTTGTATAACTGTAGCGTGCAATAGTACTGCGCAAAAATATAGATACATTGTTTATTCGTATATTAACGAAACACATTCAAATAATCGATTTATGTCCCAAAATCTAAATTGAAAGAAAACGGAAAATATTATCACATAAAATAGTCACTTGAAATTTAATAATTTATAAAGCAATGTAAACTATATAGTATATCTATATTTATTTTTTTTGCTTTTAGTATGTTAAGCATAAAAAATAAAATAAAAAAATAATAAATCTTAATACGTATAATATCCTCTTGATATTGATAAAACTAGGGCTTGGAAGTTATAAGATCTAAAATAGACAAAATATTCACAAAGAAAATATTAAATTGAAAAAACATTTTTGAAAAATTATACTATTAAATGCCAATCATATTTACTAACGAATAAATAATAAATAGATTTTTTATAATTTATCGATGATAAGATAAGATTTTGATATCTTGATAAATTAAATGCACATCGCACCGTTGTCATAATTCGACCACAACAATAATAATAAATGCCTAGGTGCGTAAAATACGTAATATTAAGTTTTATACTCAATATTATTTAAAATATGTAGGTTAAAAAAAATAATCAATATTTTACATCATATGTATATTAAATACATATGAAAATTAATGAAATGTGCACTATTTCCCTAAAATAGACAAAATATTATGCAAAATATGCGTTTTCAATTTTCAATTTTTAAACTTACCATAATATCATCGTAATTTCAGATTTCTTAATTGGTCTGCTATAAATCGAGAGCATATAGAACATATGCAACTCGTACAACTTCTGAGGCCCCCAATAATGATCATTATATAGGTAGTCAATAATTTCAAGTTAGGTAGTAGGTACATAATTTAACATATTTACACACATACCTTCCAATTTCCATCAATCAATTATGCTGATAGACATTCTTGATCATTTAACAGGAAAACAGGAACATGACAATGCATTCAACAATGTTAAAATAATACCTATACAAATATTACTGAATCGTACAATACAAAATACTAAAAAATAATTTTTAGTTATTTGCTATTGTTGTTTATTGTCAATTTATTAATAATTTACCAATATTGTGTCTAGGTTTGGTCAGCACGCCCACCCGAAGTCGTGACATTCGCATAGATACTGGTATTTTAACACATTATGACTTAGAGCAAAAACCTGCAGAAGCTGTCAATCTTGATGTTGTTTTAAACCATACCGTGAGTGCTGAGGAAATAGATTGGTCTACACCGGTAGTGAAACCTACAGACGAGCTTGTACTAGAGTGGAGCGATAAAGAAGACGACGATAACGATGATGATGATGATGATGAAATAACAGTGGAAGAACCAAAGAAAATTGCTAAACAAGAGTCCATGGAAAGTGAAAAATCAAAATCCGATTCAAAAGCATGCAATCTCGATGTAATGGCACAGCAGCTAAAATTTGTTGCTTGTCTAAAAATACTTATGGAAGAACTATCTACTCTGGCTACTGGATACGAAGTGGACGGTGGAGAGCTAAGATATCATCTTTACTTGTGGCTCGAGAGAGAAGTTGACGCTTTAAGACACTTATGCAACTATAGTTCCAAAGATTCAATGATTGTTCAATGTAAGTATACAGTATGTAATTTATCATGATTTTCTCGCATGTCTGTAAATAAATTTATATTTAAAATATCTTTCATATAGATGAGGGAGGCCTTGAAACATCAATTTTAGATAATCGGGAATTTACGTCAACACCTACACTAAAGAATTCTGTTGACAAACCAACTTTGCATGATATTTTACTTGCTGAGAAAATCGATTTTGAAGCAAAGGTTCAAAGAGCAGCTAGAAGAAAAAAATGGCTCAAAGGTACTATAATCAGTTATCAAATAAAATATTAAAAACCTGACATTTATACATTGTTCACATTTTCAACACAGAAAATGAAACCCTTTTGAGAACATTACTAAGCTATTGTAGTTTGCACGGAGCTGGAGGTGGTGGTTTGGCATCAGTTAGGATGGAACTAGTTCTTCTATTGCAAGAATTACAACAAGAAAAAACTCAACAACAATTACTCTCTCCTCTGCCATTCCCCACTACTTTGCCGTTATTGTCAGCAAGTGTTGCTTGTAACAAGACTGTGATAGCCGATCCCGTTCGATACCTACAGGTAAATTATTTAATATAGTTTTTTTATAGTTTTAAATAAAGTTTAAAAAAAAAAAAGTTATAATTTATTAATATTTGATTATATGGTTACTTTAGGCTCAAGCACACGATATGTTACAAACGGTCATTGATATTAGATGTCCCCCATTATTGACACGAATGGATCTTAGTTATTTGTTTGTTCTGAGGGATCTATCAGTGGCTTTGTCCGCTTGCTTTTATCAATCCCTATGTGATAGCGACACAATTGCTGAAAGTTATCAATCTGGTGCTGACAATCCAACATATTGTAGTCATCTCATTGCAGCTAAAAATAGAAAACGTCGCTACAGTATAGATGAGCCAATCAAAGTGACCACCCCGCCTTCAAAATGGCCTGGAGTTTCAAGCCTACGGGCATTATTAGCACATGATAAAGATGAGGACGCACCGAAGTTAAATACTTTGCTATGTGAAGCTTTTGTTGCTACTTATATGGGTTTATTAGTGTATGCATTTGCCACATGTGATTGTCACATATTGTACCGATTAGTAGGACAAACATTTTCTGAAAATACATGGAGCACGCTTTTTGGAGGTGGTGTTAAAAAACTTTTAAAAGTTGCACCTACAGCTCCCAAAAGTAGAGTAAGTAAAATTTATAATTTTTTTTAGTTCAAATATTTGATTGAGTCTAAATTATTTAAAATATTTATGTTATAGCCTAATAGCTTAGAACGAGAAAATAGTGCAAGCAGCGATATTGGTGTATGGACAGCTGTTACGAGCTTAACTAAACAAAAAGTACGATTAAATATGAAACTCCTTGGTCAATTTGTTGGTTCTCCTGGTACACCTACTATAAAAGAAGATAAACCAACTTACAGAGAACATTTTGTACCTCCTGAAATGTCTATGATATCATATTTTTTGAACAAAGTAAGGACATTTATAGTATTTTTCCCATTTGAATTTTATCATATTTATTTACAATTTTTGTGTATGTTATACATGTGTATATTTATTTTAGCCTAATTTGGCAACCGAAGTACAAGATGTAGATTATGATTCAGCTGACAGTGCTGTTTCTGATTTATCAGAAGATGAAGATGAAGAATGTGACATTTTTGACAATACACAAGATAACAAAAGTAAAACTGATAAAACTGAAAACACTGAACACTCAAATCCATACAGTTATGCTTGGATGGTAATGCGACTAGCCATAATGCAGTTAGTCCAGGAGCAGTTGCATGCATTCCTTACTGTTGCAGCCATTGATCTCCAAGGTAATCAAAGATATTGAATATTTATACTATTAATTTAATTATTAAGTATGACCAATTATATAAAATGTGTAGAAGCTATACTAGAATTAACATTTAAAATAATTAGTAGTTATCAAAACACAAAATAATATTGAAAATTCAAAATCTTCCGTCAATGGATTATGCTATTAATTTATACAATTAAAATTAATACTAAAATACACAATTGTATGTTTAGAACTACCAGTCAGCAGTCCATTGATTCATGGCACTCTCAGAGCAGTTAGCCAATGGCAAGAGATTTTAAAGGAAGAATTAGAATCCAAAGGACCTCCGCCTGTTGATTACATACCTGGTTGTTTTGTAGAACAAGCTACCACAGGCCCACCAATTAATAAATATAGAACGCTTTTGGACAAATCAAATACTCCATTCCAGTGAGTACATTGTAAAAATGTATTTATTGTATTTTAATTACATTTTTGTTTAGCCCTCGCCATGGGTCTGCAGCTCCAGCTAGACGATTATGGAACTTTTTAGTTCGTCAAGAATTTGTTCAAGATCTTTTCATTCGTAGTATATTCAGTCGTCAACCACGTGCAGCTGGAAGTTCTACTCTACCAACTATGAATCAAGAAGTTAAATCATCTTCTGGAAGTGATACGCCCAATCCACATTTGCCCGATCCTGTGAGAATTATTCATAAAGAACAAGATTCAATATCTGCTTTTTGCCTTAATTTAGTAAGTATTTTAGATTCTCAAATAAATTAAATTAAATTTTCTAAACCATTTTTACTGCAGGCAAACAGTAGTCTCCTTGCACTGGCAACTCCTCGAGAGATACAAGAAATGGACATATCATTATTACTTGAATCACCTTCTTGGCTAGAAGATGAATGTGAATTTGACCTTGTTAATCTCTCTAGGTTAGTAATACACTTATAAATATATTATAATTAGAGAACAAACTAATCCAAGAAATCAAAATTAATTAACACAAAATATACATTTATTTTACTTTTGTTTTCCATGATTTAAATTAACAGAGATCATGAGCATCAACCATCTAGTTTCCTGGTAATTCAAACTTCTATTGATCGTCCTCTTCAAACATCACCTGGTACCATTATTGTTAATCCACTGCCTACGAGTCCTAGTGTAACTGGATTAGCTAGCCAGACTGGACGAGGAGCATCTGTGGTAAGTCATCATTGTACTTTAGCTCTCAACATTCTATTTCTATCCAAATGGAAGATTACATTGATTATTGGGGCTAAAGAGTAAAATTAAATTGTATAGTAATTGTGAATTCAAAAGCGTTATGTGCAGTATGTGAATGTTTTGTTTTCTATGTAATAAGGTACAACAAAAGAGCATACAAAGTTACAGCGACGGAGGGACGAGAGCAATAAAAAGCTCAAAAAATATTATGTCGGTAAGAGGCTATTAATTGTTGCGAGCGTGGGCTTACATTACCATCTGCCGTGTTTTTCTTCTGTGTACAATATATTTGATCTATTATCTATAATAATCATTTTTAAATTTTCTCAACAAATATCTTCAGGTGCCAGAATACAAAGCTTTGTATACTTTAAGCTTCCCAATTCTTAAGAGCTATCAAAATTTTGAACAAACGCTTACAAACTTAAAAACACTTACCTCTCACTTTTACATTTTGTTTTTAGCTATTTATTCTAATCTATTTATTAATTTACAAACATAGACTTCACTGATCTTACTCATACATAATATTTAAAAAAAAACTTATGTATTTTACTTTTAAAAAAAATGTATACTTGCCTAAAAATTGTATATAATTAAATATCATTAATAATATTAATGTTATAATATTGTGTAGAGGTACGCCTGTTTTGTTTTTTGTTTGTTATTTGTTTTTGATTTTATTTATTTTCCCCAAAGGCTTATCTCTAAAACACAGTTAAAATTATAATATTACTTGAATTGCATAAATGCTTTAACAATACATCATTTGTTTTTAAAATATTGTCATTATTATTGTGTGTCACATTGCTATCAGATGAAGGGACTGAATTTCCCCGGTTGTCACGACCCACGTTTCTGTCAGTTTGTCTGTGACCGCAGTCGACTCCTGCTCAGACCGGTGCGTTGAATTTGATGAAATACATTTTTTTTTTTTAAATCAATTTTAAAACTGCGTGTTTCTCCATTATTATGATTTTATATGTGCGCATTTTAGAGCTTCGACATGATTTGAGCAATCGTATTTATACAGTTGCTCTTGTTTGGATTTTTTATTTGATTTTGTTTCTGTTTTTATTTTTTTATTTTTTTGTAGAATAGACAAGATTTTTTTGTGTGTCGCTTGATGATGCTTGAAATGTTACAATCAACAATGTATAATAATCTAGAAGTGTTAGCTAATATAATATCTGTTTGTTATATTTAAAACAATAAAAAAATATACATACCTACTTCATTTACGTTGTACATACACATTGTAAAAAATATATCATTAACCATAATACTTAACATGTATATATTATATATGTATATATTTTATTCATTTATATTTTTGCCTATTTATCTAATACTATGATTTGATTTTTGCTTGTTTTTTTTCTCACTTTTTCACTCTTTTTGTTTAGGTAATGAAACACCGCGTGGACAACATTCGGAGGATATGCCCACATCCTTTGTTACCTGTGTGTTAGTAAATCATTACACGGTTTATTCGCGTGACATTTTCGATTAACCGTATAATAGAAAAGTAAATAATTTAAAACGAATGTATTTCGATTAGATTTGACGGGTTCACAAGACGGTTCGGTGCATATTTGGGAATGGGGTCACCAACAAACAGTGGCCGAACCTCGAGCAGCCGGTACGTTTGCTAAAGTCACGAGGGTGCGGTTTTCGCAACACGGCAACAAGTTCGGTGTAGCCGATGGCGACGGAAATTTATCTCTGTTCAACGTCGGTCTCACGTCATCCAACTACAGACCATTTTATGTAAGTGTAGTACAATTGCGTCAGTCAGATTTAATTTTAAATTCAAGAGGTGTTGCGACTGTGACGTCATTTGATCGAATCCTGGATGAAAAGTCGGATAAATGTTCCTAACCAATATGTTTTTACTGTCAAACAAATAGTCCAAAAACACAAATTATTCGATTCACAAAATTAAAATTTCATGAAATGACTTATTATACATCTATTTTATTTTCTATTATATTATATTATTAGATTATTGTTCCTTACACAAATTTTAAAAATAATTAATACAAAATGATAATTGAAACTTCAAAATTCAAAATTTGAAAGTACAAAATTAAAATATTGTTTTTAAGAGGTTAATAATTAATAAATAATAATTTTGGTAATGATTGATTAGTTTCGGACTTGATATAATTTATTATATTTTATACATTTTAAATAAAAAGAATAATAATCAAATTTTATATATCGTAATAGAGTATTAAAAATTAATTATTTTTAAAAATTTTAATTTTTTTAAATTGAATAACTTCTATTTTCTTCAAATTTTGTCCGACTCAAAATAATATAATCTCAAACTTTTTGTCATATTGTAAAAAAAAAGTCCAGACTTTTCAAGTCGACCAATTTGACCTATTTAATATTCTAATCATATACAATGTTTTTCCCAAGACATTCCAATGCCATAATAAAGTTACCAGTGACTTTGTGTTCCTCGGCTCGTGCAGTCTCATCGCTACAACCGGCCATTCGTCTGAAAACAGAAACGTTGCATTGTGGGACACACTGTTACCGCACAAAAAGTCACTAGTTACGGGTAATAATTCAATAATACTATTTTGAAACATATTTTATTCAAACATCGCACTCAAAACGTAACCAATAACTCGACTAAATGTTTGTTTTGCGATTTTTTTTTTTTTTGTGTTTTGCTTTCGTCGTTAGCATTCGTGTGCCACGAGCAAGGATCAACGTGTATCGGATTCGCTCCACAGCATCAAGTGATAGTCACCGGAGGACGAAAAGGTGACATATGCATATTCGACGTCCGCGGCGGTAGTGGTTCGATAAAACACCGCTACTTAGGTCATGATTCGTGTCTCAAATGTATGACCATCGACCCGCACGAACAATTTTATTGCACCGGAGCAGCAGACGGAGACATCAAAGTAAACTCGCGCGCTACAGTCATTGCCTTTGCGGTTAGAACAATTTTTTAACCGTGTTTTTGTTTTTGTTTTTTATTTTCAGATTTGGAATTTATCCACGCATCAATTGATGTACACATTCCCTGCCGAACACGCTCGTTCGAGTTTCTTCAAGCATATCGGTCAAGGCGTCACGCAGCTACAAGTGGACTCGTCGGCGAGACTGTTCTCGTGTGGAGCTGACGGCTCAATGAAAGTCAGACAGCTGCCGGACAGGTATCATTGATGGTATTCGATTTGAATGATTAGATTTATTGCAACCATAACTGTTATTCAAATGTTGAAATCTAAATGATTTACTATAAAAAAATAATAGTTAAAAAAACATGTAATCACACATACCACAGAACTAGTCAAAATAATACAATTCTGAAAGGTAATATTGCTTATAAAAACAATATTCTGTTGTTATATTTGTGTTTAAATTATAAACTTTTGTGCATTAACGAAATTCGTTCGAAGTTATTTTTAGTTCTTATTTTAACTAGTAAAAATATTAGGAAATATATTTTTAAAAAACACCATATTATTATTAAATTATTTAGAGAAATTGTTAATCGTAACTTTAAAATGTGCAATAATAATGTATTCATTTTTTTGTTACACATTTGGTAGCTATTACCTATTAATTAATACCAGCAATAACTAAAGCATATTTTATAATAATAATTTATCTTTATATAAATAAATACATTGAGGTTACTTCATCAGTAGTTCTCCTTTAGTAAGGTGATAATATTAATAATACTTTTTAATCTTAACAACAAATCTTTAATCAATTTAATATTTTAATCCAGTATTATAAAAGTTCTCATATTTTAATACTTTTATCTATTATATCGTCTATTCAAGCAAAACAATTATTCAAAAGATAATATTATTACTCACTTATTTATTCTATTATTTGAGTTATTCAAAAATTAGAAATATAATATACCATTTTGATAGAAACGTAATGTTATATGTTACATATTATTATTATTACTGAAAAATCAAATATAATCATACAAATTGTAAAAAAGTCATAATAATTGATAATAATTTTAGCTGTATAATTTATCTACGGTACAATTAATAATGTGCCTAGTGCAGGTTTTCTTTATTATTATGTACGGGTCTCTGTGATTTTTTTATTAATTTAAAGTTAGTTTGTTTTTATTTATCATGTAGTTTATTGTACAAGTTTGAGTGTTTTTCATTTTAGATCAAGACTTTTGACAATAAAAAAAAAATAGCAAACATATTATGTTAAAAACATTTAAAACTATTTTTTTTTTTTTAACCATCAAGTGTTGTGTATACTATACAAAAATGTTTTGAAATCATTTTACCCTGACAAATTATTAATTTGGCTTCACACAAAAAATTTTGTTTTATCCACCTCAGCTACTATTTTATTTTATGTAATTTTAAAACAATGTGTGTTACTATAATATAAGTTATTATATTATTATTATTATTATTATTATTACTTTTAAATAAATCATTATTATACAATGTTGTTGACTTATTTGAACTTGTTTTTATTGATGAGTATGTGTGTGTGCGTGTATGAAAAAAATGTTCAATCGATTATTTTCCAATCCATAGGTAACTGACTTGTAGTTATCTTAGAAAACTAAAATATGTTTTCAATGACAATTCTAGATTTGAAAATTTTAACAAATATTTACACGTTTGAAACATTTCTCTAAATAAATAAAAACAAAATATTTGTATCAAGATATTTACATCATTAAAAATCTATTTTCTTTGTAATCCAATTATAACTTATAATATTATCCATTATCCATATCTATATTCTAGCAATCAGCAATAATGCATTTTTTCCCAAAACAATGTAATGATTTTTTATTGGCTCATGAGCAAACTCTGGTATTCCACACAGGAATGAAAAAAAAAATCCCGAAAAGTGTATCAAAAACAAATAAAAAATATCAACTTCTCAAGTGTAAAATACCAGTGTCAACAATAAACTATGTTTTATATTGCAAGTAAAAAACAAAATCTTTTGTTTGTTTAAATCAATTTTAATAATTTAAAATAAAAATGAATATGTATAAATAATATTGTAATCGATGATTAATAATAATGGCTATAGTGTAAAAATGTAAATATACTATGTTATCTGTAAAATTTAAAAAATTATTTTTGTTAAAATTTACTAAAAAATATAAAATAAAATTACTTATTATTGGCAACAATCAAATTCTTCATTCATAGAGCAAAAAAAATGTATACAACGCATACAAACGCTAATAATCAATTAAAATTACACAAAACAGTGATAAAAAGAATATACAAAACTAAACAAACTAAAAGCGTCCATACTCCATAGGTTTTCAGTGTTAATGGAATTGTGTTAAGACTCTGCAATACTGGACCATTTGCTTGAGAACAATGCCAATTAATAACTATAAATGGAATTAAAGTTTATTCTGAAGGAAAAACAATTTGGACCGAGACTAAACATTTTGATCCATTAGATTGTTTTTATTACGTTTTCCGTTCAATACACCATAGGCTACTGATGCTTTCATTCTTAAAGTTTCCAACCGTTTCATGAAATCATCAGCTTCACTAGCACCAGCAGACTTAGATTTTTGCAGCAAAAGTGGCTTGAAATTGTCACAGATTCCTAAATAATAAAAACCGATACACTTAAGCAACAATTTAAACTGGACGTGAGTATGCAAAAGATTAAGTACTGTACCATCATGTTCGACTGAACACCTTTTTGAATTATTGTTTTCGATTGCTGATAGTCGACGGTGAATGCAATCTTGAAAATATTTTGTCGTCTTAGAAATATGAGGCTCTATGTCTACATCTGGATACTTTATTTTGAATTTGTATAACTGCTGTACGGCCTACAAACAAACAGGATTTTTTTTATATTTTTTGTTAGCAGAATACCGAATAAAGTACCCAAAAACAACAATCATTGTTTATAATATAATTATAAAGTTAATTTTTTTGACATTATTACTAATTAATAATCCTTTATTGTCTACTCTGAGATTATTTCACTTCTAAAATACAACTAAATTTCATGGACTCACCTCATCCATCATTTCATGTTGTCCCATCAATTTGAATATATCGGCTAATTCATCGTGTGGTGTTCTATATTTATCAATATTTCTTTCTGATGTATTATTCAAATGCTAATAATACATGTCAAATTGTAATTATCTGATTAACAATGATTAATTTATTATTTTTACTTTTAATGCTTTCAGTATATAATCAACCATCATAGAATCTTTAGATAATTTTAAATTGGCCAAACTCTCCAATACTCTATCGTTGCGTACTTTCACCATTGTATATAAAACAGTTTTACATGTTCTCATAGGAATATCACATGGTTGTTTTTTCCAATATTTTAAATCAATATCCTAATTTTAAAAAACAGAAGAATTCAAGAATTTAAATATATTACACATTTTTTTTAAGACATAATTGTAAAAATTACTTTCAAGAAATTGTGTACACGCTCTAACACTAACTCATAACATAGGTCATCGTCCCACTTTTCAAAATCTTTTGTACATTTCCATATACATTTCATTGTTAAATCCTTAAAATGGGCTGTTGAGTTTTGAGGATTTTTAACCGTGTTATGAAGTATGGTCAAAATAGCACTGAATTTATAATACACACAATTAATTTAGTACGATTTATTTTAAGAATTATTCTCATATAAAATTCTTACCATGTGACTGTTGTATGAGAACATAGATCAAGAATTTTCATAATAAGACTGTTTACACATTGCCAAAACATTTTGATGTCTGACCTTTCCTCAAGTTCCTTCATAGATAGAAGATACAACAGTTTTAAAAGCAAGTCATGCACAATTTGTTCAGTTAATATTAACATAAATTCTTGGTATTTACACAGCTAAAAAGAAAATAATAAATATAGTTATCAAACATTTAAAAAATATAAATAATTAGCAATATTAATAGTTTCATTAGTTTAAAAATCATTGAAAAATTTGATCGTCAAACCAATCATTGGATTGAATGGTAAAAAAAATTTTCCTTACATAGCAAATCTATAATTATTTTTATTATACTGTGAACCTAGCTTTAAATATTTTAAACAGGTATTATGTTTTCACACTCTACCTCATTGTATTTATTAATAAGTATATAAGCTTTAGATTTTCTTATAATAACCAAAATGGCGATTCTACAAGATAAATAATGATAAAAATGTATCAATTTTGATTAGATTAATCCTAATCTACAATAAACTTAATTTATTTTAACTAATATTGTTTGTTTTGAATATTAAATTAAAAAACAAAACAAGATTTTATGTTTATAATAGTTACATTTAAATGATTGTAATGTACTTTTTAAAAGTTTGATAATTATGTTGTATAAGACATTTTTACTAACTTCAATTAATTTTATTATTTAAAATATAATACTCAAAAGTCAAAGATCTATAACTGCTAGGTAATACAATGCTGAATAGTACTTACATTCAAACATAAATGGAATATGTTCTTATATCTGACAATGTCAATATTTTCAGATATTATATCAAACTGTCTAATGATGCCATTAAAAAGTGATAAAACTTTTCCATCTTTTAAAAGCTTTGATCTTGTCTGTAATAAATAAATGCATGAAAAATCAATAAAAAATACTAAACATAATGCTCTTACATCAGGTATCATCAACATTTTATTGAGCTTTGTTAATGTAACTTTTGGTATTTTAAAATCCATCAATGTTACTTGATTTATCAATTGTGTAATAGGATCAATTGAAACTGGTGGATTTTTACATTTGACAACAGTTGCAGTACTATATGGGTTCACATTTAGACATGTTTTTGATGATGACAACCCATCAGAAAATAAACATCTAAGCATAAAATAATCGTTTATCTAAATTGAATGTTATAAAATATTTAAACACACACTGAGATTTATCTTGAAATATTTTTCCAAAGTTTATTTCGTCATCATCTGAAGTCCAGTTATATGGTTTTAATACTAATTTTGGTGTTTCAATCACTTCTGAATCCAATTCCTGGATAAATTTTTCATCTAAAGCAAAACGAGTACGGGTCACTCGAATTTCATGAGTGATTTCATTGTTAGATGTTCTAAAATAAATATATATATATTTTTTTATTATTTTTTATTTTATGACAAACCAGCAGTTCAAGACCTAATACATATAATAGAACAATATAATGAAAATATTGATAAACAATAATTTAAATTCTTTTGCTATAATTCAAAAAATGTTAATCATCATAGAAATTTGAAACATTTTATTGTTACTTCAATTATCATTCAATGAAAATTGTTAGGTATTTAGACTTAATTTAAGTTACTTATTGTCTTGTTGGCAATTAGGTTAGGTTAAAATTTATTTATTTATTTTTTTATATTTTTGATTAAAAACTTAAAATTTTAATATAAGATTATGCAAGTTATTTTTTTTAGAAATTTTATATTTAAAGTACACAGGCACAATTTTTTTATGAATGTTTTTCGTTAAAATTTTGACAAAGAATACAGGTTTGAGTAAGTTTGTTTTAAATATTTTTAAGCTATTCAAACCAATTTACAGTTAATTGAC